ATAAATAAGAAACCCTTTAATAAAAATTATCTCAGCAAAACAACAGGAAATGAAGGCTAGGGTAGTACTGGAACTTGAGGTTTGGAAGAATTATTCTGTTTTTGATATTTTGCTAGCATTTAAAGGAGGCACACAGTTTTCAAGGACCATCCCATCTGCTACTCCTTACTTTTAAAACCCTACAAAACAAGGAGACTCACATATTTGAAGGATCACCCAAAGAAGGAGTGGGAAAGGCAGAGTTCTCTTTATGTTTAGAAACTGGCACTCCCATCATCTTCCATTTTGGGCTACATAGTTACAACAGATGGGATTTTAAGTCCAACAACATCTGGAAGTTTTCACTCTGCTCATCCCAATCTATATGCATATTGAATTGCTCCTTCCCTGAGATCATCTTCACAGGCTATTCTTCAAAATAAGACAGACCAACCACTGAGAAGATTTACTGAGTTGTAGGAATGCCACTTATTAAATTTTATTCCAAACATGCTTCTCTATGTTCTTAAAATTAAGTCAAAGTATTGAAACAGGAAAAGACTCAGACCATTAGTGCCCCTGTAGCAAAACACACACAGTCTTTGATTGGTGTTGCAACAGCATCAATGTATACATATAACTGCAGCCTTTTGTTTTTATGCTGTTGAGTTTTGATTTCTGATTTGTGCCCTTTTATTATTACTGCATTTTAAAAGTGTAAATGGTCTATGAAGTACTTAACAAAGAGTGCATTAAAGAGTGCATTTATTTGCAACAATAAAAGAATGCATGCCCATTTATTTGTCTTTACCATTGTTCCAATACCATGAAAACTTCTGTCCTACTATCGTAGCACCATTGAGAGTGTCCTAACCTATGGCATTCTGGCATGGTTTGGGAGTAGCTCTGTAGTGGACAAAAAAGCTCTACAGAGATCCATTAAAATTGCCCAGAATATCATCGGGCTCCAGCTACCAACCCTGGATGACATCTTCACATCCCGCTGTCTAAGGAAATCACATAGCATCCTGAGAGACTCTTCCCATCCTACTTATAACTTTTTTCAACTGTTACCATCTGGCAGAAGATATAGAACAATTAAGACTTGGACCACACGTTTTCTAAATAGTTTTTATCCTAGAGCTATAATTGCAATTAATAATGAGCTTAAAGACCACCAGTAGTGAATAATTAGTTGGACTGTGTTACTTGGCCTGAGGTGTAGATGTTTGTATTTTTAGTGGGGAATTTTTTAGTGGGTGGGGAGTGTTTGGGGAATGTTATGTGTGTGCATGTGTCTGGTCTCTGGGTGTCTGTGAATTTCGTTGTATGGGTATACTGTGTATATACTTACAATGACAATAAATTATATTATTGTTATTATTATTATTATTAAAAACAGAATACCTGAACTTAATGAGATGCTATGGATGTAGGTAAGATCCCTGAGCAAGTCAGGGATTAGCATTGAAGTGAAGATTACAGAACAAACCAGGAGTGAAGACTAAAAAAAGAACTAAGGTCAGAGGTCAGGAAGACCACGGTATTCAATCAACACTCACTTGATACAAGACACCCCTTTATACTACTTCCAGTTCACTTGAAACCAACTGACTGGCGGATCTGAAAGTACTTCACTGAAAAGGCTACCACTTGCACTTCAGTGTTTCAACACACCAAGTAACCACACACACATCCAGCAGCTTTTCCTACCATCTATCCATGCCAGAAAAACAGAAATGGCTTTCAGTCTCACACTTTTATGGCCAGCTGAAGAACTAACTGTGTGAAAATTGGGGCACTCGTGCTAATGAGTCAGAGCTGCCTTTATATCTAAGTAAAAATGCTTCAAAGTTACAGAAAGAATTAGCTGCAATCTGCTTCTAGCATTGCTTGCTATATAATATCAAAGGGTTATATAAGGACTAGCCAAATGTCAAGATTAACATATGGAAAAGAAAACAGTTGAGAAGATTTTTCGTAGCTCTAATGGCTGGCATGGCATCTTCCATCTCTAAAATGTGTATGAGTACATGCACACACATACACTCTCCTATCTGGATGAATACCAAAATAGTTTGAAACTGGAATCGTGCTAGATTATAAATGAAATGCACGCTAAAATATTTAATAGGTCTATTATGGAGAGTATCAAATCTCTTGAGCCTACTGTGGGCAAATATTTTCATCCTTTGGGGCTTAGTGTTCGAAACCTAAGTTCATCTCTGGCATTTACAATTGTGACCTCATTTGCTCCAGCTTGTCCCACTGTGGTTTCTCTGCATCTTGAGCCTGTGTTCATATAAACTTGACATAAACCTGTAATACTGCATATCACTGTCCTTTGCTGAGGCAATGTTTGTGTCGTTATGCCAAGAATGTAGCATCTTATTAATCTTTTCTACATATTTGGAATCTATGTCTAAGAATGCTTTTTTAAAATGGATTTCTTATGTTTGTTTCCCAGTCAGAAAAACAGAAAAAATTGGGTCCCATTTGTGAATTTCTTTTCTGACACACATTCTGGACTGTTTCCATTCTTATAAAAACAAATTCAGCATCCAGGTTGACAGTCAGATTATTGCTAGTCGGGGTCCTTTGTCACTGAATTAACATTTTATAGTAACATCTGCTACTTATATTAATGTTCATCCTTAGATATTTATGATGAATTTCAGACCTTAACATTTTAAAATCTGAGCAGAAATTTAATTCAATCTTTAAAAATATTTTAATTGCGTTGTCATGTTGTTTTTATTATGTATTTTGCCGGCCCGTGTGCTAAAAGCAATAAATTGAATTTGCTCTCAGTTCCCGCTTTTGAGTTTCTTTTTTGATATATGTTCTGCACTGTGGTCCTGCAGAGTTGGACTATTTCTGCCATAAGCACACCCAGAATATTTAGTTTTTCAAATGGAAAATTGGCCATCACCAGCTGGTATACCCGCCCTAGTTCATCAGTTACTAATGGGAAGTTTATCCTACCTCAAGACATAGCAACCAGTGAGAAAAACAACCAGAGAAAGTTCTGCCCTGATGGTAGCGATTTCAGAATTGAACACCCCAAAACAAAACAGGCAATTATAACATGCCATTTATCCCCCTGTATTTCTGTCCAAACTCATTTGTTTCCTATAAGCAGTTAGAGATCACCATGGCAATTCTGGCTTTGGATGCTTCAGATTTAAACAATGATGTTGTACGGCATCCAAACCCATTTCCAAGGTTTTTCAGCCAATTATCAGCTACTAATTCTCTCTAGGGCATACACAAACTTTCACGTTTATTTATATAGTGCAATGATATTAGGCTAACTTGGTATGAATTTAAGATGGAATGGGGGAAGAAGACAAAGTAAAAACTACTAAAAACCGCATATGTGAGACATACGGAGTCATTCAGTTGTAATACCTATTCCTCCAGCATGTGCATCAATAAGAGAGGCAGCTACAGGAATCCCTTTCCGAAGGCAAAGCTCTTTTGCAGCCTCTGCTGTTAGTCCATTTCCAACTGGAGCGCCAGGAGGAAGAACTTCATTTCCTGAGTAGGTACAAAGGGGAAAGGGTCAAACATGTACCAACCTGCTGGAGACCAATTCTAGTTTTTTCTGTCTGCCTGAAAACAATTCTTTGCCCTCTCTCTCCCTGACTCAATTCGCCATCTGTATTATCTACCAAGTACAGTTAATGCCACTTTTTATATTAAAACATGTTGTAAAATGTTGATCATAACAATTTATCTGTTTGTATCAACAGAGCAAATGCATTTATCCCAGATGTAGATAAACATGGACATTTCATTTGTAAAAGCAACTCTCATGGTTTCCAACAACCTGTAAGTGATGTTTCAATAGTTTCAGTACTTGTTTGAGAACTGTTATTACTATTCCCTTTTTTAAAAAAAAAATAAGTTTAATATTTTAGTTTAGTTGATTTCAAAGCTAATCTTGTACACACCCAAAAGCTTTTATATTAATCCTCTGTGCCGAAGGCTAGACTTAAGTTGGCTTCAACAAGACACCACTAGCAATGTGAAAACAGTGGCACCACCACTTTTTCCCAAGAGCAAAAATATTCTCTACACCAGTTAATACATTTTGATCATGTCCTTCCTCTAAGAAGTTAGAGTAGTATCCCTCTAGTTATTCCTGACCCCATGAGGTAGATTAAGCTGTGGAGAAGAGACTTAAAGAGGGTGAGATACTAGTTCAAGTCATTGTATAGGACGTTAAGTATGAACTGGAGAGATCTTCAGGATACATCCATGCTCTTTTAAAACCATCTTAAAACTCAATATTGTACAGTACGTAGATGACATTGTCTAAGGTTGTTTCTCCAACCCTTCCAAGCCACCAATTCCCAAATATATGAGCAGAGAAACTGCAAACAATATAGAATGAATCCCCTTTGCCTTTGGACACATTTTAATTTTCCAATGAACTTACAACCATAGCATAGGCCAAATAAGTAGCCTATCCATAATCTGCCTGCCTCCCTTCCCTTATGCTTTTCTTTTTTATGCTATTTACTTGCATTTCATTGTTTTGCTTTTAGGTTTTGGGAGGTTTTTATGGCTAACTAAACAATGTAATAAATTCAACCATTTACTGATGGTGATTTAGCATTCTCATTGGCTGGGAGAGTATAAAAATAATAATTAAAGCTAAACAAGGATGTCCTGTTTCATGTATTCTTGAAGGCTTTCACGGCCGGGATCTGATGGTTGTTGTGGGTTTTTCGGGCTCTTTGGCCGTGTTCTGAAGGTTGTTCTTCCTGACGTTTCGCCAGTCTCTGTGGCCAGTATTTTCAGAGGATGGGAGTAGGAACGCTCTCCATGCTCTGTTGCTGTTTGTTGGATAGTTGAGTATTTATAGCTGTGGGAACAGCTGTTGTCCTTTTCAGGAGATAGGGTGATCAGTGTGTTTTTGTTGTGGATGTACTGTTGTGATAAGTGGGAGAGATTATCTGTCACTGTGGTTGATGGGTGTCTTTAGCTGGTCTTTTTTGTGCAGTGATCCCTGGTCCTTGTGGTTGGGTAGAGTTCGTTGACCTTCTGCAGGCTGTATTTTCCAGTGCTGGAAGCCAGACCTTGTTCAGTTTCAGACTTTCTTCTTTTTTATTGAAGCTCTGCTGATGTTTATGGATTTCAATGGCTTCCCTGTGCAGTCCAACATAATGATTCCTGATGTTGCCCTGTACTTCAGTATTTTGAAATAGAATTTCATGTCCAGTTTCTTTTAGGGCATGTTCAGCTACTGCAGATTTTTCCAGTTGTTTTAGTCGGCAGTGTCTCTCATGTTCTTTGATTCTAGTGTGAATGCTGTGTTTTGTGGTTCCAATATATACCTGGCCACAACTGCAAGGCATCCGGTATACTCCTGCAGTGGTGAGGGTGTCTCTTTTGTCCTTTGCTGACTGTAACATTTGTTGTATTTTTATGGTGGGTCTGAATACTGTTTGTAGGTTATGTTTTCTCAAAAGTTTTCCCATGTGGTCAGTGACTCCTTTGATGTACGACAGAAATACCTTATATGTGGGTGGCTGTTTTTCCTCTCCAGTTTGGTGTTGTTTTCTTGGTTTGATGGCTCTTTTGATTTCATTCTTGGAATAGCCATTCGCCTGTAGGGCCCAATTCAGGTAGTTGAGTTCAGTGCTGAGAAATTGAGCTTCACAGTTCTGATTTGCACAGTCTACCAGTGTTTTGATTATGCCTCTTTTTTGTAGTGGTTAGTGGTTGGAGTTTTTGTGTAGGTACCGGTCTGAGTGGATGGGTTTTCTGTAGACCTTGTGTCCCAACAGGAGGTCAGTTTTGCATATGACCATGACATCTAAGAAAGGGAGTTGGCCCTCTATTTCTAGGAAGAACAACCTTCAGAACACGGCCAAAGAGCTTAAAAAACTCACAACAACCATCATGTCCTGTTTCATTTAATAGATTGTGCAGAGGACCATGAACGACATGTGAACGCCATGTGATTTTTAGGGAAGTCCTGGTTGGTCTAGGCATGTGACTATTGCCTCCTTGTATGGGAGAAAAAGCACTTCAGCAGTACCACAGCTTCTAATGCATAAGATCCACTTTTCAATTCCAGGGGCACATTATGTGAAATAATCTCCACGAAAGGCCCTCTGTTAGAACTCGGAGACAATTTCACCTGTTCTTGTGTAAATGAGTACCCACTGAGGTCTATGGTATGTGACAGTTCCCAAACATTATCGCACTATAGTAAAACAGCTCAGAATGGGCTATATCCACTTAGAGTCTTTCAAGAATCATGACTGCTTCAGGACTGAGAAAGAAGGCACAAGCACTGTATGCTCAAAAGCCCATCCCTGTGTACTGATGAGCCCATGGAAGTAAAAGGGTGAGCTGATAGATGCATAAAGGCACAGAACAGAGGCAACATATGGCACCCCTTTTTAATAGGGTTAGATTACGGGAGGTGAGAAGCAAACCTATTAAAAGCAAGATGTACAATGTAGACATGTACTGTCTTTAATAATAATAAAGAATAGGTCCATTATAAAAGTAAACACAAAAGTTTCTTTGGACTATTATTTAACCGCAATTCTACAATATGGATATTTTTTTAAAAATCTAATCTTAGACATACAATACAGTATTTTAGACAGGTAAAGATCTTTCTGTTTGACATTCAAACAGATGGTTGAGAAAAACTAAGCCTTTATTACTGTTGCCATTCCTGGCAACTCTTTTTCACAGCAGACGTCCCATTTTCAGAATTTTTTTTTTTGCCCATGTGAAGTGGGAAGCAAGTTTACCAAAGGAAAAATCTGTCTGAAACTTTTCCTTCCCCTTTATCCTTTCCTAAAAGACTAGCTCTGGAATTTGCTATGCTCGTGTTTTGTTTAAAGAAATTTATGCCGTACCAGTGACCTGCCCACCTTTTCCTGGCAGTTGCCATGGAAACTGGGTATTTACCAGACGTAACACATGAGGCGGACAACAATACATCTTTAGTCAACCTGAATAACTGAATTGTAGGGTCTAAAGTCATACTAATATTTAATAGAATGAGACATTTTAGAACGCAGTAGCCTTTTGAAACAACAAAAGAAAAGCCCAGGAAAGGGATCCGGCTGATTCAGCTATGACACATCAAGGGCTGCTTTTAACCTTTTATACGGAATAGGTACTATTTTGTGTGGAACCATAATTGGCTGCAATTTCAGAGGAAGGGGTGAAAATACAAAAAAGTAGTTCTCTTTCTTAATGTGACTGTCTATCTATCCACCACTAATCAGTTTTAATTCAGAGAGAGCCCTGCCTGTCTACAGAGTTTTATATCCCTCTCTTTCATCAGCTCGCGGCAACTGTTTGTTGCTGTTGATGTGGTTAGTTGCTAGTATGTGCGCATTATATAAAACAGTATATACTAGTCTGTAATTTTAAGCAGGTATAAATGAAGATTTTTTTTTCATTCTTTCTCCTACAAATGTCTTAGAGTGAATTTTGAGACGTTAAATGCCAATTAACAAGAAATGAGTGCAATCTGAAGAACTGGCAGCTATTCTCCTCTGTAGATCTTTGCACTTCTATTGTACAGCAAAAAGAGAATTATACCAGAAATTCAAAACTCTGCAACAAAGGCTATCACAGCTGATGGAATTCAAAGTCACTGTTAGGTCCTACAGAAGCAACAGGAACACACTCCCCCTCTAGTTCCCAGTGTAGATTATCCATCAAGGTGCCTGAAACAGATCATCTGTCTCATTCAGGTACTCCAGAACTGAGGAACCACCACCCACTCCAGAGCATTACCCGAAAATGGGATATTGGAGAGTGGCCCATGATTATCTAATACTGTTGGGGAGATCTTTGTTTTGTTGAATTGTTGAAATTTTTAAAAATTGTATTAAGTGCTAGCATTTTTAAAAAAAAATATTTCGTCATCTGTATCCTCACTAAGATGTCTAACTATAACATCAAATCTAACTATTTAGTAAACATATATTTACAAGATGGAAAAATAACGTATGAAAACCAGCTATTAAAGTCCTTCCTCTATTATAACAATAGACATTTTGGAAGTTAGGAAAGGTTTTCCAATTGACTATTAGGGGTTGTTAATGACTAATTCTGCAGTTGCCACCAATGACAAATAAAATGGGCAGGCTCTGCAAACAGAAAAGGTTTTACTAATATTGGAAAGTACTTTTATCAAGTGAGACATCGACTGCTGCTATTTAAGAATTCCATTTCCTGCTAAATATAATAACTTCCCATGTGGATGCAATCAGGCCTATCTATGCACTCCATTTATTCATAATATGAAATAATTATGACTAGAAAATATATATGTTTGTGTTTGCTATATGATCATCTAATATGTGAACTCCTTTTTCTATTGTTCTGCCATACCAAAGGGATTAAAAAGTCCACAGCAATTCTGAGCTTAAATCTATAACTTTAACTATGTCACTAGTAAATTCAGGACACAAAAGATAAGCAAAGACAGATTTTTGCAAACCTAAAAGGCTAACCTGCCCTGAGAAACATTTAAAAGAATCAGGTTTGAA